CAAGAGAAAATGAAATTTCAACAGTGGAGACTGTCGACTTAGCGAAAATGGCACCCTTCAGATGTTCTTGGACTCTTTCCCCAGCCAATACGGCCAATGCTGAGGGATGATGGGAGTTGTAGTTAGGCAGTATGTGGAGGATACACCTTTGGTTACCCCTGGAGTAGAGGGACACAAAAGTTCACATTAAACTGTAATCAGCAAGTGAATTACAGCACAATCCTATGCATGTCTTCTCAGAAGTAAGTCCCATTGAATTCAAGGGGAGTTACTCTAATTGCCACTATCATTTGCACCAATATACACAGTGTGGCCATTGGAGGTGTGGCTGGCATTGGCACTGCAATGCTTTGGGCATCAGGTTATGCTAATAAAAGGTTAAAATTGCTAAATATGTTTTAAAAAATGCTTTTTAAAAAAATTACTCAAGCATAATATTATAATGGTTATGCTGTTAGTCTGCTCTGGTTTTATTAAACTGGTCCAAACCTGATTATTTTTTTACAATGTGATTGTATTTCCTATTGATACAATTGGTTTAGTCGTGCCCACTGGTATCCATAGGGATGAGGGGCAGTTTAAAATAATTTCAATTAATAAATGCAAATAATGATCCCAAATGCCTTAAAAATTCCTGCTGTAATGCCGACTCCAAACTAAGCCTACTTTCAAAAAGAAAAATGAAAGGAAAGAAACACAGTGATAGTTCATTAGGTGGTGTTGCCTTTGTTCAATTTGTGCCATATTTACAGAACACAAATAGGGGAAAGATTACAATAATGCACCTGTTTTCAAGTTGGCTCGCCTTGGCAAAATCTGTGCAGCTCACTGCATCAGGGTCACAATGAGCAAATCAAACTCTATGCATCTCAAAGGGAAACTAGCTGTGACCATTCCTCACCTCAGGGCCTAATCTGAAGGACAGCGTGTGCTCCCGATGTTCAAAAACAACACTGCGCAAGTCTTCAAGAAAGATTGTTAACAGAACTTTGGCACTGAAGCCTTTCATCTTGTTGACGCTGCTACAATAATGAGTCATGACATGCTGCTTATGAAGAATTATATTTCTAAGTGAATTAAACTACAACCCGCCCTATGAACCGACGCTTGTTCCATATTCCCCTTTCAGCCACTGGACGTACAATTTTGCAAAAAAAACAAACCATGTGCCATAAGAACATGATGTCCCTTGCCATTCAACACGGAGCGTTTCATAACTTATTTTATGCAACAGCTTGAATAACAGAAAAAGGACAGAGACACATAGCAACCAAAGGATGTTCATCATAGCAGAATTGGAAAGACACTAGTGGCAATAAAGCTAACCGTAAAAACAAACTTCACAAGTAGAATTATGAATGACCACGTGCTAATCAGTCACCACATTGGCAGATCTCACTAAAATGCCTCTTCTTTATATCACCAACACACAAGGTGCAGTTCATCTGTTTAGAAAAAGGGATTTTGACAACCACAGCTGAGGTCATTTAACTTATTTTACCAATTGACTAAAATTAGACCCAGGTGACATTAATGGCTTTAACACAAGTTAAGCAGCAGAACAGATAAATAAACCACTGACGAAAAACTTCAGTGGCAGCTAGAATGGTGACTGGGAGTAGCTGCTGAGACCATATAACACCAGTCCTGAAAGACCCACATTGGCTCCCAGTACGTTTCCAGGCACAATTCAAAGTGTTGATGCTGACCTTTAAAGCCCTAAATGGCCTAGGCCCAATATACCTGAAGGAGCATCTCCACCCCCAGTTCAGCTCTGAGGGTCTTCTGGTGGTTCCCTCCCTGCGGGAAGTGAGGTTGCAGGGAAATAGGCAGAGAGCCTTCTCGGTAGTGGCGCCCACCCTGTGGAACGCCCTCCCATCAAATGTCAAGGAAATAAACACCTGACTTTTAGAAGACATCTGAAGGCAGCAGCCCTGTTTAGGGAAATTTTTAATGTTTGATGCTTTGTTCTGTTTTTGATATTCTGTTGGGGGCCGCCCAGGGTGGCTGGGGAAACCCAGCCAGACCGATGGGGTATGAATGAATGAATGAATGAATGAATGAATGAATGAATATTATCATTACTACTACTACTACTATTCAGCAGCGAGCATATAACAGCAGACACAGCAGTAGCAACAGGGAAAACCCGCTGTATACTGCTGAATTGGAGGACCCTATCATTTGCAGGACTTTGCAAGCAAGTGAACTAAAGACTTGGCTGCGGACTTCAACACAGCAAGCACTTTGAAGCAAAGGACCCTCTCAGGGCTCAAAGAGAGAGAAGACTAATTGTAACCTCTGTAAATAGTGTGTGCATGCACAGTGGTATTTGTTGTTGCTGGTCTAGTAAAGACAACTCTCCTAAATGGCTGTTTTCTGTGGTTGAGCTTCGGAGGCGCTACACCCAACAACACCCCAACAGTGATTAGGAGACAAAATCAGAAAATGTGGATGCATCTGGGCCAATTACTGCCAAAGGCACCCCAGCTTTCCATCAGGGCTCAGCACTCCTTGGAGACCAAGACCTTGCACACACCCTCATCAAGGCAATTTTCTACCTTCTCTTTGAACTTGTCTCAGAACATTCATTCAATGCCATGAAGATGTCTCTTAAAACAGTTCATCTGAGTCTTGCTACCCACATACGGCACAACCTTTGCCAATCCAATCATTTCACCATGAACCCTTCATGCCATGCCCTGCCTTTACCATCATAATTGGACCATTGCAAAAGAGAACATTCTGTCTTATGGGGACGCTTCTCCTTCTTAACTGCTTGCCCCCAGGGTTAAGTTACAGCACCCACAATTTTTTTACTAAATTGAATACACAAAAGCCACAGTGAAATCTGAAATGCCCAGTGGGAACTAGTGTGCAGGAGCTTGCAGTAGGGGCAGTGCATTCAAAACAACATACAGGATTTCATCCTTAGGTTTCCAGTTTGTGGCTGGGAGAGGCAAGAGGGCAGCCTTTAGAAAATGTGCCCTCTGATATCTGCCCTGCAAACTGCTGTTCTCATGCTTACGCCTGCAGCTCTCGCATTATCATGTGAACAGAAAATGACAGAGTGTAGACGGGTTGGGGGTTGGGGTTTGCCCTACTTACAAATTGATAATGGACACAGTTGCCGGAGCCAGGACTCCAGGCTGAATGAGAACTTAATGATGTCCCTGTTTGTTCAGGCAAAGACTAGCACCAAGCACCCTGGGACCCATTTTTGTTGTTTCTCTTGTTTGGTTTCAGAATCCAAAGCAATTAAGAAAAGAAATCTGTTGTGATGTGAGGGAACAAAAAACCGGTTTTGTCTTGAAAAGCAAAGGAAATGGGAGTCACCTGGCCATCAACGAGAGAGAAAGAAAATGACAGGAGGCAAGCAAAGCTAAAGTGGGGAAAGGAGATTGCATCAGCCTACCGGCTCCAGCAAGACTTGAGGCAAAGACCTCCTATGCACACCAATTTTAGTAGAGTCGTACCTTGGAAGCCGAATGCCTTGGGAGTCAAACGTTTTGGCTCCTGAACGCCGCAAACCCGGAAGTGAGTGTTCCAGTTTGCAAACATTCTTTGGAACCAATCGGAAGCCATGCCTTGGTTTCTGAATGTTTGGGAAGTTGAATGGACTTCTGGAACAGATTCCACTCGACTTCTGAGGTACCACTGTAATAATATTATTGGTCCATTACATATTTTGGATGCACATATGCTCCACACTCTGTGGGTGTGTTATTTCACTAGTATTGAAAGAATAGCACCATACACAGCTCCAAATATTTCTGGAATTATACAACCTTTTCTACTAAATCTTTGAAGAAGAATATATTAAGTCAGTGCTGCAACCTTTAATAATAATAATAATAATAATAATAATAATAATAATAATAATATATCATGAATTAGATGACATTCTAATTTCTCTAATTTACAGCTCTGGCTGTTTACAGTAAATAATTCCCTACATGCATAGGACAGCCTGAATTCCCTGAATGCTCTCCCTCTCCTCACTAGGTCTTATGCAGTTGTCGTCGGAAGTGGCTAATATTATATATGGCTTCTCGAAATTTAACATGCACATATTCACTTGATGCATGTGATAAGTTCTGAGAAGCCAAACATGATGTCAAACTGATGCCTTGCTCAGGTTTTGGAGATTTCCCTCAGCAAAACAGCATCTTGTTCATGAAAAAATAAAGTATTTTTCAATACTCCTTTGAGTTTGAGGCTAGTTTCAAACTCCAAGGGCCAAATTAGAAAAACTTCAGAGTGCACCGTGAGAGTTCAGAATTCCTCACTTCTTCCTCAACACAGTCTTGTGAAATTACAGTGGTGCCCCGCAAGACGAATGCCTCGCAAGACGAAAAACCCGCAAGACGAAAGGGTTTTCCATTGCGGAGGCGCTTTGCAAGACGAATTTCCCTATGGGCTTGCTTCGCAAGACGAAAACGTCTTGCGAGTCTCGCCATTTCCCCCCTGCTTCCCCCCCCCTTTTTCAAAGCCGCTAAGCCGTTAATAGCCTTTTAACAGCTTAGCCGCTAAGCCTTTAATAGCCGCTAAATCGCTAATAGCGCTAATCCGCTTAGACGCTAATGGGGTTGCTTCGCAAGACGAAAAAACCGCTAGACGAAGAGAATCGCGGAACAGATTCTTTTCGTCTTGCGAGGCACCACTGTATATAACCAAGGACTGTGCCCCTCCTGCTCAGGAAACCCAAGGTAAGCAAGCAAAAAATTATGTGCCCCACCCACCACACCCTCAATTAAAGGAACACTTTAAATAATAACACCATGGAGAGTGCTGCTTAGATTTTTCACTTCAGGCAACGAAATATCTCAGGCAATTCCATCTGGAATGTTGATAAATTAGGATGCAAAAAGTTGATTTGGACTACGGACTGCATCCCGTTGTTGCCACCAAGGGCAAAAATAAACACACCGTACCACTGTAATAAAGGCCACACTATTTCCACACAAAAATTCAGCTAAATATTAAGGTTAATTCCATACCTGGTGTCCTTTGTTTGACCGCCCGAAGAGGACCTCAGACACATCCATACCATCAAACTGTCTGTTGGGAGGGAGGCTTGCATTTGCCAGAGACACCAAGGTAGGGAATATATCTAAAGTGCTGCAGGAGAGAAGAGACTGTGATCAGAAGAACACAGGACAGGAACAGTGTTCAAGAAGCAAGAGCTACTTCACCATGAAGGAGAGCTTTGGAGGAAATAAAATTAACACTTCCCCCCTCGGTCGTAACACATTCTACACCAAAAGTACAGAATTCAGATGAGTACCTCACTTACGCAAAAAAGCAACAACCCTATATCGACCAGACTGGGCCTCCTCTTTTTCAGGTTGGTACGTGTGTGTTTTAAGAAACAAAGAAATTCAATTCCCAAACACAAATCCAACTACAAAATATAGCATTTGCACATACTGACTATTTTGCCTTAAGGGTTGGATTCATTGTCAGGACATTTCCTCAAGGATTAGATTGGGGGAAGGATGTGGGGGTGGGCGAAGGTCGCAAAAATGGTGGGGAGAAGAAAGATATATTGATTTGAGATTGAGGGCAGCAATTGTACAGAAAAAAGGAGCTTTGTGCAGGACACTCAAACCCAATTTCTCAAATGCTAATCTGCCAAGTAATATGCTCCCAGGAACTTGAGCCAAAGCCTTGTATTAGACTGAAATTATTTACATCCATATTAATTAGCACATTTTAATGAGCGAGCACCCCCTTTTACAAATGTTAATTTGCTAGGAGGAAGCTGGCCATATCGCTGAGTCACTCAAGAGAAGGGTGGTCCAGTGCCTGCAGTTCCTGATGGAAAATTAATGAATGCCTAGTGGACACAAATACCATGTGGAAAATTTCTAATGCCTCAAGTGCAGAATGGGTTCCCAAATTACGGAGCAGCATTATGTTGTCATTTCCACTTATCGTCTCCAGCTCTCGATCATGAAGACATTGGCCTCACTAAGGTTTGTTCTGAGGTAAACACGATGGGAGGGAAGCTAGTATATAATGAACGAGGCTTCCTTATGCTGCGTTAGACAACCGGGTTATATCTGGGGAAGAACTGGGCCCAGGTGTTTGATGATGAGTGACATCCTTGTTCTGCTGGCTCCTCTCCTCTCTTTCCAAGGCCAGATGCCCAGAAAAAGGAGACACGTCCCTTATATATGCATCTGCTTCCCCCTTACCACTGGGCCTTCCTTTCCTGCTGCCCCCATCCCCTTGGAGTGCCAGAGGGCAGCTCAGCAAGGCCAGAGGGAGCTAGCAACTCCTTCAGAAAACACAGAAAGGTGGGCTCAGTTGTGATGGTGCATAGTCTCTGAACCACTTGACAGTGGCGTAGCGTGGGTTGTCAGCACCCGGGGCAAGGCAAGTAATTTGCGCCCCCTAACCCGTGGATTTTAGAGCTGCGAGTGCGAGCGCGCCCCCCCAGATGTTGCGCCCGGTGCGTCCGGCCCCCCCTGCACCCCCCACGCTACGCCACTGCCACTTGATGCACATGAGTTCCAGAAGAGACCCAAGCAAGAACCCAGACGTGTATAGAACCATACAAAGCACCCACAGAAATACCAAGATTTGAGCTCCAAGTTCCATAAAACCTCAAGGTCACATAGCTTCCTGTCAAGACTTGCACACTGGTGGGGAGCCAAGGTGGGTCACTATAAACTTCTATTGTGCGCTGCCAGGTCCAGCTGCACAGAAACACTACAAAGATGCAGTCCTTGGCGATAAAACCACAGTGGCAGGGTTAAATAAGCAGGGTAAATACATCCGAATGATGCCATGCTAAGCACATCAATTCACTTTCTAGGAAAATATGGTTTCACTTATGTACAGCACAGCAGCTTCCATAGGAAGCCAGGATGGAAAATGAGAGTGGCATTGGGTTCTGCAGTTGCCACCAACAACTCTATCAACATTTCCACTGCAGTCTTCTTATTTCAGGGACTTAAACCTGAGCCACAAAACACATTATTCAATAATCATATACTTGATAACACAGCACATGGAGTGTGGTACTGAAATAATACACACACAAACACCGTCAGTTGGGTGATCTGACATCCAGCAACCAGCACAATATGGGAAATGGATTACTGAAGCAGCTCAACAGAAGATGGTCAAGCTTGTAATTGGTCCTAATCACCTGGAGATTGAACCAATTCAGCTCGTTTCTTCAAATTAGTATGCAAGTACGCGAAACGCCTGATGCTTCTTGTATATCACAGACACAAGGGATGTCTTCAAGCAAGGGATTTCCCCTGGATTCCTGGGAGAGGAAGAGCTAACACACTTCACATCTTCCACATCACTCGTGGTTTTATTAATATCATTTTATTTTCTTATGGTTGTCTTTTTAAATAAGCCAGGCAGTATTAGGGATGCTCGAGGAATTCATTCTTTGACCATTTTAATAAAAAGGGACCAGATTAATGTTTAGATCATAATGCAGTCATCCTTCAAATTTCACATCTCTTGAATGCTATGGTGTTGTTCTTGGCTCAAAAAAATAAGCAAGCAGAAATACCCATACAAATAGCTGTTTGTTTTTTTGATAAAACAAGTTTAGAAATGCTTACTCTGAGACACAACACATTGAGAAATTCATATTCTGTGCAAAAATACGTATTTAAATGTATTAATTATTTATATCTTAAAATTAATATACTACTTGACTGTAAACAAAACCTTCAGAGCAGTTTGTGTTCTTGTGCTGCAATGTAATGCATTTTAAAAATCTTTGAATGTTAGTTAACATTGTTTTGGTGGAGCACAATTTGGGAGAGTGCCCCTAAAAGGCAGATAATGTCCATTATGAGGAATCATAGACAAGATTGCAGAGTGAATATGGAATCCTGAGGTTCCAGGGACTTCCGCTTCGCTGGCTGTGCTGAGCAAACTAGTAAACTCATTTTCAAAAGCAATTTTCAGGCTTGGAAAACTTGGCACAACACACCTAACTTCTCGGATATTGCCACTCCATTCCCTTCCTGGAACACCCAGATTTTGCAGTGGGAAGCATGAATACGCAGGTTATAAGAGGCCTTTTTGAGAATGGCAAACCAATTAGCAGAGAAAACATTGTCACAATGATGCAGCGGTACAGAAGAAATTGGTTGCATGGGGTCCAAGTACAAAGAAAATGCCGTGAATTCACAAAAGTTTGAAAGTGTTTGTAAGTATGTGCCTCCAGCAAGCTTACCAGGAAAAAAGAGAACAGTTTCACTCATTAATAACCTATTTGATGAGGGGTTTTTGTTTGTTTTGTTTTTTTCAAACTATGGGATTAGAAATGGTGTGGGAGACAGACCAGGGTCTGTTATTTGAGACTCAGCTTGGGAGGTTGTATAGAGAGGAACACCACCCTTCAAAACAGCTTCAACGTTAACAAGGAAGTTCTTAATTAAACTGATGCATCGGTGCATAGCTGTCAACCGTCCCTTATTTGGCGGGAAAGTCCCTTATCTCAGTGCGTGTCCCGCTGATGTCCCTTAAATTTCCCGGGTTTCAAAGGAAGCAGCTCCTCTCCCTCCCTGCCGGCCAGGGAGGAGGGAGGCTCCAACTGTGTTGCTTGCCTGCGTTGCTCACCCAAAAAGGAGTCTAAGAACGACTGGGGTGGGGGAGATTGCATGCCTTGTGCCGATCAAATCAGCCACGTTGCCTGGGGACTCGCCCTTGCTCAGCGTTTCCCAGCGGAGAGGTGATGGTGTTTTCCTTGCTGCATCCCCTTTGCCGGGTTGCTGCGCTGTGGGAACCACCGCTTGAGGCTTTGTTTGGCTGCTGGCTGGGCTTTCTGCCTTTGGCTCGGAGGGGCAGTTGAACCTACTTGTGTTCGCAAAATCCCTGATTTTGGTTGCTGATCCCTTAGTTTCGAGGCTGCTGGTCCCTTATTTTCAAATCTGTAAGTTGACAGCTATGCATCAGTGCCACCTTACCTTAGTTAAATTAATGCATTTTTTGCACAATCAACCAAGTGAAAGGGCAAGTGAAAGCAAGTATCTTGGATGACGCCTTGATAGTTAAAGCCTGCTTTCTGTTTCCCTTCTAGCTACCTAACCTGGTGATGCACCTTCCCAAAAAGTCACATGCAGCGAACCAGAACTCTTAGATAACGGCACCTACGCACACAACAAACAGCCACCGCTCAATCTATAGAGCTCTGCCAAAGCACTTCGCCGCAAAACGAGGGCACAATTTCTTCCTTATTCATTTGGGCGACCTACTTTACTGACCTACTTTTTAATGAGCAGGAAAATCATAAAGTCATTGCGGGCACTCGTCATCAAACGCCGTTAAGCGAAGCAGTTTGGCACGGCAGATTTTGGTGGAAAGGCACCAGCTCCACCCCTTGAGGCATGGGAAATTGATAAGCATTTTCCGCTCAATGGAAGAGAAAATGAGCGCCTGCTCCCTAGCTAGAGGTCTAGGGAAAAGAGTTGGCTCTGCACAGGTTGAGAACCCAGGTGTGTAAATGCAGAGGAACCACAGGCAGAAAAAGAAGGACGAGTTTTAAGATTTGCAGTGACACAGAGAAGGAAAAGCATAGCAGCGAATGCTGGGATCATCATCATCATCATCATCATACTTTATTTATACCCCGCCCATCTGGCTGGGTTTCCCCAGCCACTCTGGGCGGCTTCCAACTGAATATTAAAAACAATACAGCTTCAGACATTAAAAACTCCCCTAAACAGGGCCGCCTTCAGTTGTCTTTTAAAAGTAAAATAGTTTCTTGCCTTGACATCTGGTGGGAGGGCGTTCCACAGGGCAGGTGCCACTACCGACAAGGCCCTCTGCCTGGTTCCCTGTAACTTCACTTCTTGCAGTGAGGGAACCGCCAGAAGGCCCTCGGCGCTGGACCTCAGTGTCCGGGTAGCATGATGGGGGTGGAGACACTCCTTCAATATACAGGACCAAGGCCGTTTAGGGCTTTAAAGGTCAGCACCAACTTTGAATTGTGCTCAGAAACGTACTGCTTTCTCTATGGCTCTGCACTTGCCATATATATATATATATATATATATATATATATATATATATATATGACGCGGGTGGCGCTGTGGGTAAAAGCCTCAGCGCCTAGGGCTTGCCGATCGAAAGGTCGGCGG